AATCCTAAAAGTAGAAATAAATAAAATATTCAAACCCTAACTTCTCATCAATTTACTTTCTCTCAACTTTTCCTCTTCTCCACTCTCGCTCTTCCCTTCTTCATCTCAAGCTCTCTAATCTTTCTCTTTGGTGGCACTTGCATCAAAAATTAAATTAGGTGGCACATAATGAGTTATATCATATGACATCATAAAAAAAAAATATTTTTTAAAATAAAAAGCAAGAATGCTTACTGAAAATCAAAACTCAGTGGTTGAGGTACTCTCATAACCATTAAAAATACAAAGACAAGAATATCAAGAACATCAAAGTTCGTTCTTAGTTGCTAATTTATTCTTAATTAATAATTTGTTCCTAATTAATAAAAATCAATTCTGATCCAATTGCTTCTTGTTGACTCAATGCACTCCAAGAGGGGGGTTGAATTGGAGTTGGAGAATTTTCACCTCTTTGCAACCACTAAACAAAAATTAAAGAGAGAGTGGAGAATAAGAGCTTGCACAATGATTTTATAGAGGTTCGGTCCAATCACTTGGAGCCTAGTCCTCTACCTTGGCTTCACTCATCAAGGATTTCCTCCACACTCTCCACTAACAAAAACAATGGTGGCTTAAAAGAGCCACTCAATCCTTTATAAGAAGAAGGGTGTTTCTCTCAAATCTCACCCCTTTACACCTAAACCCCAAAGATCCTCTCTACAGATCACTCTTGAAGGAATCAACACACCCTTAAGATCACTCACTAAAAGCACAATAAGAGGATTACAAACAAAGATCTCTCAAAGATCAAAATCTCTAGTTAAAGCTCATGTAGATAGGTAAAGATATTCAATACAATGCTCTCTAAACTTCTTTAAATCTGTTACCAATCATATTTATAGCCCCTTGCTCGAAAATAGCCGTTTCTTACCGTTGGGGGTCATTTAATGCTCTGCAGGTCGCTTAATTCGAGTTGCAGAATTGTCAGTAGAGTCGGCTTACACTTTTAGAGCTGGCTCTATACAACCGGCTCACCATTTCTCCAGCCGGCTCTGCGGGTTTCCTGCATTCTGTTTTCTCCATAGAGCGAGCTCAAAAATTCTGCAGCCGGCTTTACGGGATTCCTGCACATTTTGTTTTCTTCCAAAGCCGGCTGCAAAGCCTAGAGCCGGCTTTGGGATTCCAACTTTAAACACATTAAATAATCTTCAAATAACTCGACTGTTGTGCATTAAATGCACCCTCACAGCCGGCTGCAAAGTTGGAGCTAGCTTTGCATCTTTGCTCCACGCGCGCCAAACAACGATTCTTTAAATCTTTACTTGTAGAGCCGGCTTCAGCTTCTAGAGTCGGCTCTTTGCACTTCCACAGCGGGCTGCAAGTTTTAACAACCGACTCTTTGCACATTTTCAAGCCTTTTGGTCTATTTTTAGTGCAGTCCAAGTTTACTTATTTTGCAATCTTTTGACATTTTAACTACACATTTAAATGAACCAATTAGTCACTCAAATGTGTTTTGTAATCATCAAAATCATAGGTACAACACTTCTTGTATTTAGTTAGACATATTTTGGATTTACCTTTTAAACTTTAATATTGAATAGGACAATATTTTTTTATAATGCCCTCCTAAATATTGAATAAAATTGTATTTTTTATATAATACTCTTATAAATATTGAATTGGTACTAGATATTAATATATGTATTAGATTTATCTTTTAAATTCTAATCCTTTATGTCTTTTCTTTTAATGAATGTTAATACCTTTATGAAATTATGAATTTTAAATATTGTATAGGTATTATATATTTGACATATATTTTAGTTCCACCTATATAATCACTAATCTTTTCCTTTTCTTTTCTTAAGATTGGAAAAAAATTGAATTATGAAATGAAAATTAACATTTAATAAAGTTTTCTAATGAAATAGTTAATTAATAATAAAGTTTTTTAATTAAATAGTTAATTAGTATTAGATTTTGTTAAAGAAAAATAGAGAAAAATATAGAAAAAATTTTAATTTTTTAAAAGTTGGGTCCACCTGACCTAATCCAAAACCCGTATGGATGGATCATGGGTTAATTTTTAACCCGACACTCGATATGACCTAATCCAAACAACTCGGAATTCGAAATGACCCAATCTTACCTGTTTGCCAGGTCTAATTAAGAAATTTAAACCCTAAAACTATAAAATACCAAATTTAAAAATTCTAAACCCTAACACTTTAAACACAAAATCCTAAAATAATCTAAATACAAAACCTTAAAAAATATAAATCCTAAAAATTGTAGACTTTAACAATATAAGTTTAAATTGATTTTAACTTAACAATAAGAAAACAAAAATAAGTTTAAATTGTTAAAAGGAAGGACTAAAT